AATGAATGAATGAAAGAGAATGATTAAATACAAATGAGTGAATGAATGAATGAATGAATGAATGAACAAATTATTAAATAAATACATGAATGAATGAATGAATGAACAAATTATTAAATAAATACATGAATGAATGAATGAATGAACAAATTATTAAATAAATACATGAATGAATGAATGAATGAACAAATTATTAAATAAATACATGAATGAATGAATGAATGAACAAATTATTAAATAAATACATGAATGAATGAATGAATGAACAAATTATTAAATAAATACATGAATGAATGAATGAAAGAGAATGATAAATAAATACATGAATAAATGAACAAATAAACAAATGATTAAATAAATACAAATGAGTGTGTGTGTGTGTGTTTGTGAGTGAGTGAGTGAATGAATGAATGATTAAATAAATACATGAATGAATGTATGAGAATGATTAAATAAATACATGAATAAATGAACAAATAAACAAATAATTAAATAAATACAAATGAGTTAGTGAATGAATGAATGAATGAACAAATTATTAAATAAATACATGAATGAATGAATGAATGCATGAAAGAGAATGATTAAATAAATACATGAATAAATGAACAAATAAACATATTAAATAAATACAAATGAGTGAGTGAGTGAGTGAATGAATGAATGAATGCTTAGAACTGTGAGATTTTTCATTGAATAAACATACATTGTGTTTAGTTTCCCTTAAAGAAATAAACAAAAAAGGGTGATTTCTCTGTAAATAAAATTATATAAAAATAAATAAATGTAAAAAATGATAAAAAGTACATTTGCAAAATTATTAAACAAAAAGATCTTTAAGATTTAATGGATTCTTTTCAGTAAAGCTGCTTTGAAACAGTATGCACTGTGAAAAGCTCAGCAAATCAATAATATGATTTAAAATAAATTTGATTATCAAATTACCATTAAAATAAACTCAATCATTCATTCCCTCCCTCCCTCATAAATGACTGATCTCAACTGGTCTGAGGAATTACGTCTTTGGTCCCAAATATCCATTTTCTCCAATTTTAACATCTTTAAGAAATAAAACCGAACATTTCTAATAATCCGCGAGCTATAATCAGTCCCAGCGCTTCAAAAGCGTGTTTTTTACATTCAGAAGGAGCAGCAAAGCCAAGCGGCGCCAGCTTGAACAACCCGCCGTTCCCTGATCCTAGTTTTACAGTCTCGGTACAATGTCAAAATGAGCTCGCGACTCACGGGTGAGTGTTGCGGGCGAAGCGTCTGCTCGGATCCATTGTCACTCTCCCCCTGAAATGAAAACAACAGTTATGAATGAGCTTCTGTCGGCTGCCATTGTTCCATCAAGTGTTTTTATTGCTGTCATTATAGTTTAACATCGCACTGTTAATTCTGTTAATTAAAAAGCTGATTGCTTTTGCCAGTCTGTGATCTCCATTTGGTGAGTCCATATGGTAGAAGATTACTTGTTGTAAATTTCAATGAAGTCGTATCAGAGCTCGGATACATATAATCAAGCAGTACAAGTCCTGAAATTAAGCCTATAAAACCTCAATTATATATTCCCTTGCATTCGTTTTGTGTACCTCCATTCCACCTAATATATAACTGTTGTGCTAGAATGGCAATTTAGGGAGGACATGAAGCTTGATGATATTTTGTGTACCTGAGACGCTGCAGTGATGCTGAAAACGCACATTCAGGTTAATAAAGATTTAAAAATGTGCAAGTTAGCATGTTCATGTCAGATCCAGGTGTGCTGCGTAAGTTAACAGGGTAAATACACAAGCCTAGGCTTGCAAATAAAATAAAATGGGAACAATACAATGAGGTGCTGTTTGTATTTCAGCAGTCGAATGCAAAGACTATTATAGCATTTACAGTTCAGTATTAAGTAGGGCTTTTTAACGCAATGCCAAATTGCATTTCGTAATATGCTGTATTTATGCATGCAACAAAACATTTAGTGCAGGACTGGGCCATTGGGATTTGATTGGATTGCAAAAAATCACCAATTATATTATTTTTTATGGTTGTGTGAAATAGTAAATACGAAGCAATGTGCATGCCATTTGAGTCAATGGATGTTTTGGACAATTTAGTATTTCTTTCTCTCGTTTTCACTTTCCAGGAAGATTTAGATTTAGAACTAGTGCAACCAATTAAAAAGCAAAGTAAGTGCAATTGGTGCTTTATCAATAGCTACATTTACACGCAACCAAATGTGAGCACATTAAAATTCACATCAAAAGTCTGTCAACTGCCAAAAATCTGTTTATTGAAATATTCTGTTTTACATGCAAATCAGTAACCTGGATTTACAAGATTTATTTCAAAATCAGGGTATTTCCTGGTGGTGACGTCAAAATGTAAGCATCCTACCACAAGTATTCCATGTGTTATGTAAGTTATGATCAGGGCATTAAAATTTACTTTCGCCAAGCGCCAAATGTGAGGAAAAATCAGCTTTGTTGACCCATATGGCAATTTTTTTTTTTCTGGCCAAAATATATTTTAAATATATGTTGTAAAAAAAATTTTTTTTTAAATTTTATTTATTTTAATGTATTTATTTTAATTGAAAATATAATTAGTTTCAAGTTTCATATACCAAAATATATTTCAAAATAAATTTAGGGGCAGGAAAATACATCTCCAATCTTACAGTATATTTATTAAAATAAATGTATATTTTTAAAATATATTTACAAAAATATACAAAAAGGCCTAAAAATACATTGAGCAAAAATATATTTATGTAAATATATTCTGAAACACATTTTAGATTTTTTTGGGGGGTCTTTTTTTTATATTTTGAAATATTAAAAAATATATATTTGAAAATATATTTTTCGGATGTATGGGGAGCATATTGTTACTGCCCGATAACTTTAATATTGATTTCTACTTTGCATATAGAAAGCAAATGCAATTAATAAAATACATTCCACAATTAATAAATCCAGTATAATAAATACTACCACAATGTACTTTCAACTGTACTTCACAATGTGTTTAAAAATAAAATTGATTGTTAATAGTAAATCATATAAATACATTATAATATGTGTGATAATCATCAAAATGCAAAACTGTGATTGTCATGTTTTTTTTGTTTGTTTTTGTTTCCACAAAGAATAAATCATAATAGTCCTAAATAAAGGCTTTGTTTTGTTTAAAACAGGCATTCTTTACTTTTTGCTCAATGTTTAAAACACAGAGTTTCTCACTGGTAGTTGTGACATTTTGGTTGCATTTTTTCCTGCAAATATAATCACGTGACAGGACTTAAACACTGTATTAGTCATGCCATTATAAGAGAGATGGAAAAATCTGTTGCATTTTGATAAAAGATTATGAAAACCTAATTTTTAATAATGTGCTTTGATAACAAACAGCACATTTTAATTTCATTCTTTAAGTCGAGATAGATTTGGCAGAGTTTAAGTTACTGGTCACATGAAAAAGCATCAGTTTACTGAACGTTGCTCAGCAAGACTAGCAAACCTGCAAGAAAAAAAAAAGACCACTGTATGAAATCCACCCGTCAGCAAAACAAGAAGCCCCTTTTGCCACAAAGCATACTCGTAAATCAGAATGACATGAAGGCTGATAGTCTCTGATAGGCTGCTTTTATTGGTGCCCTGTGGCTCTATAGGAGAGCTGGTGTGACTGCTCACATATGCTACCTGCATCCTGCAAGAATCCCATAAACTGATGGCACACAAACTTGGGACGCATATCTAGCCAATGATTTGCAAAGAGAAGCCACCGAGGGATCAGTGTTTCCAGCAGGCCGGATGCTGTGAAGATACCACACGAGATCGGCCCGCAGCGAGCGCTAACGTTGACGCGGTCGGCTAACAAAGATGAGATGCAAGGTGACTTATCAGCTGCGTTTAGGATGGACAGAAAGAGTGCACGTCCACCTGGAAAACTCCATGACAGACGGCCTCTTATTTAAAACACGTGTACGTGTGTGCGTGTCAGACTTATGCAAAATTTACCAGCTCACACTTCCCATGAGGCTGTCTTTGCGGTACGTTCCTGAGCGGAGAGAGTGCTGCTGATGGGAACTAGGTCTAACCTGAAAAAAGCTCCACTTCTCATGTCAGAGGAGCTCATTGTGTTCTGATGCTGATGAGCGAGAGGGAAGGAGGCTTGTTATGCAAGGCCGGGCTACATGTCCTGGCCACAGGCACTTTACCAACTGTTTAAGGGTGACAAAAGAGAAGTTTGAGAGTGACACTGACCTTTTGATGACAATGAGGATGTAGGTATATGTAGGGCTGGATCTCACAAAGAAACGCTGGTGTCATATTTCACCTCAGAATCAAAAGAAAAAGATAAACATTTATACATAAATATATAAATATACAACAATATACTGTATATATATATATATATACACACACACACACAAACGTATATTCCCATTTTGATTTACATGTAGTTCTAATATAGTTTTGCATATATATGCTGTGTATATACAGTACGTACTGCCATAAAGTATGTTCAGCTACTTTTTAGCTTTATTTTTATTTACAAATAATTGTATACATTATAAGGTGTGTGATAATCATCTTAATAATTTTTAGTGACAATGCAAAAAAAAAACATTATATATTTATATATACTGTACTTCACAATTTATTTAAAAATATATATTTTTATATAGAAATGTATAGAATTACAATAAATAATATTAATAAATATAATAAATAGTATTTCCAATGTATTCTCTTGAATTTTGCATAAAGAAAACGAGTGCAATTCATAACATGACAAATTAAATTCAGTAAATAAATACTATCACAATGTACTTTTAGATGTACTTCATAATATATTTAAAAATGTGTGTGTGTATGTATATATATATATATATATAGTCACAATTGTTTTGTAGAAATGCAAAAATTAAGGCTTGGTTTTATTTAAAACTGGCATTCTTTATTGTTAGACCACAATTTTCCAGCGTTTTTCTGACACGCGTTCGTGAACGCAAATGCAAGTACATATTTGTCTTTCCAGTGAAATTTTGCCATGACGGAGCATCAGTTTCTGCTACTGTACCTTTAAGATTGAATAACTTCAGTTATGATTTGCTAACTGTTTGCATGTGAAATCAGTATCAACACTTGTTTTCCATGATATGTTCCCTTTAAATGACAACTTTAAACATATGGCGTGCACAGAAAATTCATTTACCAGCCAATTAATTGACTAAGCATCTGCAGACTCTGGTCATGTGACAGCGGTGACAAGGATTCGATGACAGCTTTATTCTGGGAAATTTGCAGGGGCCTCAACATCTCTGAGAATAATTCGCAAACGCGACTTCACCAGTACATCTCAATCCCAGAATCCCAAGCAAAGGCTTTGAGCTACTCTCACTCGCCCGTGGCTATGACAGGTCGCGAACCGGCCTTCTTATCCCTCTGATGACCAGCAGTGGATCTGGAACCCTCGACTGCCGGACCCCGAGGCTCCAGACCGCTGTCACAGCTGACGCTATCATGTCGAGCGCGTACTGCGCAGATAGGAAGGCGTGTTTGACCCAGGAGAGTGAGGACTGACCTACTTTGGGCGATTCCTCTAATTTCTGCAGGCAGGGACAGCAAAGTAAGGTTTGAAGGACACACCAGATCTACCTGCTCTCTTCATGCTTCAGCTCAATGTCTGCTTCTTGGGGATTTGTTAGCTGGGAAGACTGTAAAAGTAGACCTAATAAAGCTGTGATTCTCGAGCGCTGGGACAAATCTGACCGCAAACCTGAAAAAGGGTTATCGGTTGATGAAAAAAAAAACATTCAGAGAAATGGAGCTCATTCAATGACATTACATTACTGTGTTAGACGAGTAAATCACTGAACAGACATGATAAAAACTGACTTCAATATATGTCAATATATGCTTGAAAATAAAATTTGCCATATTATATCATTTATATAAAAAAAACATTTAAAAAACTATATTTTTAAATAATGAAGTACAGTTGATATTTTGTGTGTATATAAAATTAATAATATACATATCTAAAATATACATTAATAGTATATTTTATAAAATGATTAATTTTTTTAGAACTAAAGAGACAATCAAGTGTACAGTATATAGTTTTACATGTGTGACACTTAAAATGTATTACATAATTTTTTAATTATTTCAATGTAGATATAAAAAATATTTTTAAATAAATTGTGAAATACAGTTGATATTATATATATATATATATAGAGAGAGAGAGAGAGAGAGGGAGAGACTAATTATCTTCTAAAAAAAATG